CCGGTGCGGTCCGCGCTGCGCCTCCGCTGCTGACACCATGCGTGCTCCCGCCACGCTCCAGGCCTCACGTGAGCCGAGCTGCCGGCTGGCGCCACTAGCTAGGACGCCCAAGGGTGCAGCACACGTGGCTGCCCAAAGCCGGGGAGCAGCACTGGGCTTCCGCCGGATGTGGGGAAGCTGCTTTAGCTACAAGTCCGGGCAGCGCCCTGCATAGTAGCGATGTTCAGCATTTGCTTATTGGACAGGCAGTGGACTAGTTGATTCTCCCCCCCCTTGATGCAGTAAAGGGGGGAAGAAGGGGGTACTTCAAAGCAGCAGCAGTGCACAGCTGAGGCCGGGACCCAGGATGAGCTGGGGAGGCCTCAGCTGACCCCAGGTTCTGGGGAAATGCTGCATGGAACCCAGTCAGTGCTGACCCCAGCTTCGCTTGGCATTTCAAATTTGACAGGGCAGCATGGAGCCTGGGGACTCTGAGGCCCCTGCTGACCCCAGGCTTTATGAGGGTGCTTCTGCTTAGAAATGCACAAGATTCCCCCACTGGGGCCTCTTGTACATTTCAAAGCTGGAATGCTGAGTGCAGGCTAGAGGCAGCAGGACACCCCAGCTACACACAGAGTTCTGCATTCCTCCTTTGAAGTATACAAGAGCCGGGGCTCTTGTACATTTCAAAGGAGGAACGCGGAAGTACCTTACTTGACTAGTCAATTAACTGTTACTTAACATCCTTAGTCCGTAGTACAGTGTAGTTCACTTGGGCAGAGCAAGCTGAGATGGGCAGATGTGGGAACTGCCCAACAGGCACAGCATGTGGGTGCCTGGCAAAGGTCTACCCTAAGGAAATGGTCTACCCTAAGGAAAGTTTGGGTCTCCTCTCCTGCTGGGATGGGAAATCTGACAAGGCTGTGAGAGCTGGCTGAGGCCAAAATGCAGCCCCAGGCAAATCAACTGGACTTAATTTTAGCTTGTGGATTCAGAGAGACAGGAGCCAACTTCCCCCACCTTTTCTTGGCATCTAAACGAATCTTATCCCCAAGGGACCACTTGCAGATAGTTGGCCATTGCAGGGGATCCACGGTAGGAGAACAGGATTGAGGGAAATGCAGCTTCTAGGACTGTTCTTAAACAATGACAAGAGGAAGCAGACTTAGAATTGGGAGTTACTTTGTGCCCTGAATCTGTACCTAGAGACCTGTGCACCAGGGGAACTTGTGATTCAGCACAAGAGTTCTTCCCGTTCCCAAACATCCCCTCCTATGGATTAGATCACTGGTAATAAAATAGTCAACTAATTGCATGAGTTATTTGATATTACTGTGAGGCTGTGCTGGCAGTCAATGCAATCCGGCCTTACACCCAGGAAATAGAGGCAGCAGGGCAGAGGGTATTAGAGGTAGAAGTGTGGGGTGCCAGATGGGAGCTGATCTGCGAGGGGAGCCCATTTAAATACCAGCTCCCCCGTGCCCCTGATAGAGGCAGCAGTGGGAGGTGGAAACAGCCCCTGGCTGTCTGTGGGGGGTCCAGCTCCTGTGGCCAGAGAGACTGCTGAGGGGTAGAAGGGGTTGCCATGAAGCAAGACTGTCCACGGTGAGCCATGGCCCACCCTGGGCAGAAGCTTCTTCACAGCCTCCCCTGTGCTGCTACCTCTCACTGAGGCAGCAGCGCAGAGGGCTGGACAGACAGGCTGCACTGCCAAGCCAGTGCTGGGGGCGGAGGGGGGACTGGCTTTTGAGCCCCCCCTCCTTGCTGCCTCTAATACAGAGGGGGCGGGGAGGGTAAATGCTAGTAGGGAAGATTAACTGATAAGCCTTATCAATTAATTGTCTACTCCAGGACTCCTTTACATCCCTCCTCCAATATCCCTCCTTAATGCATAGTGCTCCAGGACAGACACTATCCAGAGTGCTCCAGAACAGGCACACAAGAACTCTATGCAATAGCTTCAGGGGGTAGCCGAGTTAGTCGGTACAGGATAAACTTAAACTACAAATGGTCTGGTAGCACTTGATAGACTAACAAAACATATAGGTGGTATCATGAGCTTTCGTGGGCACAGCCCACTGCTTTTGAGCAAGTAGAGTTTGCCCCAGTGACTGCCAAGTACCCATGGTCTGGCTCAAGGAAGCACGTTGCTGCACAGATTGGGAGGAAGTCTCTCTCACCCCTGTGCCCCAACAGCCAGGAACAATATTCTTCACCCTCCCCTCACTCCAGTAAGATGGATGCAGCCTGGCCGTCCCCTGAAGTAACACAGGCCCTAGGGAGGCTAGAGAGAACAGACTCATACACATCTTTCCTAAATAGCAAAATATATTTTCAACTGCTGAAATACAGTAGATTATATAAACAGCATTTCTGCATGACAGAACATTTTACAGGTTGATACACTGCAGACAGTAACAGAATCACATCTCTCACAACAGGCATCTCTTGGTAGTTATTCCAGCTTTCATAACAGAGCTATTCGTACCACTGCCCTGCAGAGTGCAGTTTAGTTTCCTCTACTCAGTGCTATTTGTACACTTTCCTTCTGCTGGCCACTCTGATTAAACAGAATCTGCTCCAGGAAGGAGACCAGCAGGGTTGTGGACTCTCAACAGCAAAGACACAGTGTACTGGATAGAGACTGCAGGTATCCAACTGACCAACTGCATAATCCTGAGACATCTGAAAGAATACACATTGAAACCATTCCCTCTTCCAATTCATTTACATTCAGAGATCAAAGCCAAATGATTTACTCCCCATTAATAGGTTAATACTGCCTCTTCCTATCGCAGCCACCCTGCCTCAAATCGAAGATTTTTTTCAAAGGGAGAACAATTAGGTTTATTTTAACAATCCTTACAGAACAGTGTACAATTTAAAGAGATAAAAGGCAGGATTTCTTTCAGCTCTAAATCTATCTTCACAATGGAAGCTAGACAGCTTGGTGATGGGGGGGGAGGGTTAAAGCAGCAGCAAAGACATTAGGCATGAAGATTCTGTGTGGCTCTACAGTCCTATATGCAATACCCTTATGAATCATTACATATTTCATATATGCAGGCAGCTGGGTACAGAATAATCTCACATTTATACTGATTTTTGTGATGTTACCAACATTGTATTGGGTGGCATTCCAAAATGGAAGCTTCCCCTTTCATGGATGGTTAAGAGATTGTGAAAGTAAGCTTCACAACTGTACATAGAACACTTATAATACGTATAAAGAATAAAAAAAAAAGATTTTTAGCCGTAAGTGACCAAATCACTGGCTAAACCACCACACTGCTAATTCTGGGATTCTATGGCCTCTCTCCACTCCCTACCAAAAAATATAAATATATATATATATATATCCCTTCAAATGAAGATAGTATCTTCAATTTCCATTTAGTCCAGCAATGTGCAATAATTTACCTAGAAAAATCTAAGGCCTCAAGTATTTCCCCAATGCAATCATGAAAACAATTTCAAGCTGATATTAAACCTCACAAAATAACAAAAAATAGCAAAAACAATTGTCATTAGTGTAGTAGTTAATGCTCTCTAGAGGCATGGTTTCTGGTGCCTTGAACTGCAAGGTTAAGAACTGAATGGGTCAAGAAAAGAGACCAGTGATTGAACATGCCTATTCAATAACTGGTTTCTGCTTGTGATAACTTCAATCCTTTGGTTCCAAGCATTGAGGTTGTTGACATAGTCATGCTCAAGATTCTATATTATAGGTAAATTGGCACCATAGAGTTATACCTAGAGTCCTACTAGTAGGCAGAGAAGACTCAAAATACAATTCTTCCTTCTTTTGAGAACACTGAGAAAGGGTAGCAGGAATCATACACAGGCTTCAAGAAACCTAAGTCTCTAATCCATCATACCCCAGGAGAGTGCAAGGATTTTCATACATAAAACAATACATTGTGTTTTAAAAACTATGATTAATTTGTATTTACTTCAGTTATCTTAGATGGAAGAGAAGTGCAATTATCTGACTATAGAGCTATTATTTTTAAAAGGACGTTATCAGGTTAAAAATAATCTCTTAAAATTTGATTAGCATTTTTTTTAAGGTAACTTATTTTTCATTATAATTGTTCAAACTCAACTAGGGGAAGGAAAAAACCCCAATAAACAGAGTAAAGTTTCTAATGATACTCATATCCAGGCTCTTCTATACTAGCACAATGTCCTATGTTTGGGTGCACACATTTGTTAAACTCCCTCTACTGAAATAAAAAAAGAGAACAATTAAGAGTTTTGATGTTTAGTGCAAGCTCTCTTTCAATTAAAACCCCCACTCTCTACATTCAAAACCTGATGTTGGTTATAGATTTGACCTGCCTGTGTCATTTTAAGAGCAAAATACCTACCAATTAGACAGAACTGAAAACTAAGAAAAAATATTTTTAAAATCCCTAAAACAGTTGGCTCTGATGAAATCATGTTTCAACTCGGGTTAGAAAATAGCTTTTCCAACATGAACACAGGCATATTGTCAGCACTGGGTTTCCAGGCATGGCTACATGACTTGGAGGTCAATAGGATCAATTTGCTACTAAGAAAAATGCAATTAAACAGTTGAGTAATTATTGTGAAATTACAGTACTTAATGAAAACCAAGTTATTCTCTACTACTCAGCTTCTTCCTGCAATGGAAACTGTAGTTACGGTAGGATACAGTTCAGATGTGTCCCTAATGTGCATCACTTAAATGAATCAATGCCATCAGATAAACATGAATTATATGGTTTGTTTTTGAACTAATTTGTAACCTAAAGTACCAAACTGACATCTCCATGTAGAAAGGGAAGCAGACAGTAACTAGAAAGAAACTTGGATACAATCACATACAACTGGGCTGTATCTACACTGGCCCCTTTTTCGAAAGGGGCATGCTAATTTTCAACTTCAGAATAGGGAAATCCGCGGGGGATTTAAATATCCCCCACGGGATTTAAATAAAGGTGTCCGCCGCTTTTTTCCAGCTTATAGATAAGCCGGAAAAAAGCGTCTAGACTGGCCCGATCCTCCGGAATAAAGCCCTATTCCGGAGGATCTCTTATTCCTACTTCGAAGAGATCCTCCGGAATAGGGCTTTATTCCAGAGGATCGGGCCAGTCTAGACGCTTTTTTCCGGCTTATCTATAAGCCGGAAAAAAGCGGCGGACATCTTTATTTAAATCCCGCGGGGGATATTTAAATCCCCCGCGGATTTCCCTATTCTGAAGTTGAAAATTAGCATGCCCCTTTCGAAAAAGGGGCCAGTGTAGACACAGCCCTGCTGTGGTAAAGGGAATATTCCTAGTTTGAATATCCACGTATTAGAGTTTCTTCTTGTAGCAGCACAAGCGTTCCTCCCAAAGCATCAGAGCATGAACTTTTCCTCACTCTGTATATTTTTGATGCAAGAATCCAAGGGATATGAGGCTATCCATTGTAAAAGTGGTGATTTAGAGTGGGGGGGAGGGAGGCCTTTGATTCATTCCTTTATTTCCAACTTCTTTTGTGTCAGGAAGCCATTATGGAAAATCTTGTCAACATATGGCAAGATAAATAGGTATTGTATACAGTGGAGCCATCTGAATGAGAATACATTAAGTCCCACTGAAATCAATGGGATTTCATCATACTGTTCCATAATACTCAGCGTGTACCAACATATGTGTGAGTGCACATGCACAGTAATAAGTTTCAATTTAAATTTGGCACAGTTTTGCATCCTTTAAGGTTAACTAATTAGTTTAGGAACTACAGGCAGAGTTGTCGTCAGAAACAGCAAGCTTCTACTGTTCACAGTCACATGAGCTTTAGAGCACAAAAGAAAAAGCCTACGGGCATAAGAACTGTAGCTGGAATCCTAACAGCCAAAGAGGTCAGGCTCTTGTGATTCAGAGACCAATCTAAGCTTTTAGTGTAACAAAGGTTTTTGTTTAAGAATGTATACGCTCAATGCCCTATTTTTGAGTATAGCAAATATCTTCATATAGCCAGTGGCAACTGCCCATTCATTGCAATCACAGAAAGAAAGTCTTCAGCCTTAAAAAATTAACCTTCCCCAACCCATTTTCAACCCCTACGTATTGTCTGTGGAAAGAAAGAGGACCTAGAAAGACATTCACCAATACTTTGGCTACGACATGTTGCTCTGTCACATAACACTGCCATAGCAACATGGAAGGTTCCAAAGAGCATACAAATTCTATGTCTCCAGTTACTGAAGGAGGAAACAACTGAAGGACAGAAGCTACTGCTGAGCTCTACCTAGTCTGACCAGACCATCTACTGTCTGGATGAAGAGTATCAAATACAAAGCACTGCTGGAATGAGCAAAATTCCAATGGACATCACCTTCATCTCAGTGTTTCATGATGACTTGGAACTGCGTGAGTGTAGCTGTGTACAATGAGAGCTACATGGAAGCCTGCTGCAGTCCACTTCAACTGGACTGCCTCAGTAAAGTTACAAAAACAGTTTATCTCCAATAATCAGGAGGCACAACTTCCCTTAAAAAAAGATCTGAAGTGAATTATGTCATTGGTCCCTGTCCTTTGGAGAGCACAGGCTGATCTTCAGATATGGAAGGTAAGATGAAAGCTGAGTTTATCAGTTTTAAATCTGAATATGACAGTCCCAGGAACGTGGTTTCACATAATCCAGGAATGTGGGCTAAAAGACAACAGAAGAGAGGCAGCATGTTAGTGATGGACATATGGTGGTGAACATTATTATGCTGTCTACAGAAGTCAAGTAACCAGAGATGTCCTTAGGATTCATGAGGCCCTGTGCAGTACTATTAAACTGGTGCCCCTACGCCCGATGGCACCGAGGAGGGGGAGTGATAATTTGTATAATCTTCAGCAACAAACTAATGAAATATTTAAAAGTAAATTTTAAACTAAGGTTCTGTAGAACACACAACAAATTCAGAAACTGACAGTATATACCTGGAGGTGGCAAATGCCTGTTAAATGTCTTCATCACCACTTGAATGGCTCTTTCACAGGCCCAGTGTACTGCTAATAGGTATTCTGGCAGACTTTCATTTTCAAGTTAACTAGATCCTCTCTGGAGGAAGCAGAGCCACAGAACAGGGGCAGAAAGAGGCAGATGGGTGGACATTAAGACCCAGTGGTGCCCCAAATTTTCAGGTGCCCTATGTTCTGTGTATTCTGCATATGGGTAAGGACAGCTCTGCAAGAAACCCCTTCTGTTCATTCCTCTTCCAGGAAAAAAAAAAAAGCCATGAACACCACACAATCTAATGTCTGGTTGTCATAGAAACTACTGACTGACAGCAGCACAGCGGAGCCAGACATTTTTTAAGATGAACATAAGCATGTAGTCTATGACTATTACATGATGTATGATAGTAGCTGATAATTTTATGCCAGGACTCAGTTCTGGGTGACCGCTACTTCTACTGGAAATGAATATATAAACTGCAGAGAACATGTTTGTAATAAAGAAAACGGGACCTTTAGTTCTGAGTCTAGCTGGAATGTGCCTCAGGTAAATCCTTGCTGAATAGGGTTAAATGCCTTTTCAAAGTGCCATGCAGGGCAGGTTGAGCTATCAAGACAACTTGGACACTGAAGGGTTTGTGTTTAGTAGTGAAGTTGTCTGTCTGGCTTTAGAATCATGTTCCTATTTTCCCTACTTTACAATTGCCACTGCTGAAGGCAAGAGGAAATTCCCTACAGACCCTACCAATGCAAAAGAACAAAAATATAAAACCAACACTGTTTCCTCCTCATCCTGGAGCCTGCACATGCGGTCTCCTCAGCACTGTAATAATAGTACATATTGCCTGAATGGATTCAAAGTGCTCTGAGTTGGTTTAGAGGGTGCAGCCCACTACTTGAAAATTGACAGTTGATGCGAAATAAACTGCATTGTTTAGACTTTCTTTAAAAAAAAGCAATCCTACAAAGTAAAACTCAAAAAGAGTGGGAGTGGGATGAAGTGGGGGAAAATGAATAAAGGTTAGTAAAATACTAGATCCTTGTGTTTGTTAGCCAGAGAGCTTCCCTGCTTTCTCTAAATTTCTGTTGGCATCAGCCTTTCTCCAAGATTATCTCAGAGATCTGTAATCTTCTATGAGTTCTCTCTCAAATGTTGTACTAGTCTGGAATTTGTTATTGAGCTCAAGTCATAAGTTTTAAAACAGTAAGAACTAAATAGAAATCAACTTCTTTACATCATCAGTACCCATTTTCCAGATCATATCATATCAGTCCATCACCATTCTTCTGTCCCATATTACAATTTCTCACCCTTTTCCCCATATGACGGACTCACACTAATCTCTTGTCCTTTACCCAAACCAGGTTTGTCCCTTCTCACTAACTTTACACTTTGTTATTCCAGAATCAAAGGTTAATCACTCACATTTTTCAAGGGGCAATACTGATGTGCATACCACTCCTGGCTATAAAGGCAAATGATGACACCTTGGCCCAGAAAGAGAGAGGTCCACATAATCACATTCCAAATGGGCCCTTTTCGACGGTCATTAAGAATGAAGTTGAAAACCACTAGAAGAAGAAATAGAAAGTCATCAAGACGTGCTATTCAAGACACCTGCAAGCTCAGGATTTCACACACATCAAGAGACAATGAGTCTCTTGAATTCTTTTTCAGTTACTGCTAAGTTAGTTTTATCATTGATCTGCTTTCCCTGTCTCCATTGTGTTGATGGCACATTACGGGAAAAAAACAAAATCGATACAGCACATGAAAACTTGCTCATTACCTTATTTCACAAGTGAGATGCATCATATTGCAGACTTGTCCCCTAACAAGACTACCAGGAAGTTGGCCCACACCCAAGTCCATCTGGCAGCCTCGCTTAGAACTGGAGTGGTAGGTGTGCTACAGTACAGGAATGAAGCGTGCTGACAGAGTTGGGAGAGGGCAGCAGCTGTGCATAGTATCCATTTGCACCAAGCCTGCCCCATAGCAATCATCACTCACAGAGTAAATAAGTTTGCATTCATGGTCTCATACAGTGTCAGTCCAACACAATGCTGGAAGGTTACACCTATGCAGGTGAGTCACTGTAGCAAGACAAAAATTACTACTCCCACATACTATGGCTTTTATTTTGGCTAGTTGGCAGAAGTGTGGTAACTCATCCTGGTGCGGCTGGCTAAAAGGGAAAGTTATGTTACAAGTTCATTGCCCATTTTATATAGATTAACTTGATATATTTTATTTGTATGTATATGGTTAGTTGTAGAGCAATACGACTTCTCTTGTCCTTCTATTCCTTGCCTCCTTCAATGGGACTTCTAGGATGCACATGTTTACAGGATTTGGTTCTCCAGACAGAACTCTTCTACAGGAAATATTTCTGAAAGTGTCTGACGACCAACTAGCGCAGTGGTTTTCATTTTCTCATGAACTAGTTGAAGAAAATCATTGATGCCCACGACCTAGCATAATTTGACTAGAGTGTGGGCTCCAGAGTAGGGCTGAAGATGAGAGCTTTGAGGTGTAAGAGGGGGCTCCAGCTTTGGGGCTGTCAGGACTGTGGCAGAAGGGGCTTACCCTGAGTGGGTCCTGGTTAGCATTGCAGCGGGGATGTGAAGGCAGGTTTCTTGCCTCTCCTGTCACCACAAACCATGCTGCACCCCAGACGCAGCCAACAGCAAGTCAAGCTCTGTGCACTCTCTCCCACCCCACCTAAGAGCTGGGCGTGTTACTGGTTGCTTTTAGGGCACAGCACAGTCTGCAGTGCCAGGACAGGCAGGTAACCTAGCCTGAGCACCCCCACTGGTCACCTTATCACCCTGCAACAAGGCGATCCAGTGAGTGACATTCCACGACCCAGTACCAGGTCATGACCTGTAGTTTGAAAACCACTCAACTAGCCCAACAGAGTCTGATCACCGTTTTAGTTTCTGGGCTTTACCACGGCTGCATTTCTTTTTAGATTATGTATTTCTTGTTACTTACTTCCAAAGCACATGAAGAGGCAGAAGAGGACTGGATAGAAATAACCAAAGCAGACTCCTAGGACATACTCATGTACGGCAGCTGAGACAGCAAAGACAGACAGCATAGCAGCAGCTTTGAACTTCTTACCAAAGAACTGGTGATGGGAAGAAAAGGGGGTGGGAGGAGAGAAGGGTATTAAATATAGAGCTGATAAGCTCGCTCTTTTGTTATACTTTATTTTTTTACGCTAGAAGTTCATACAATTTAAAACCATTTTTAAATCATCTAGTTAGTGTCTGTCCCTGCTATGCATGAGGAACTGTGGATTTAGAATGCTATACAGGCAGTCCCCGACTTACGAATGGGGCTTTTCTCGCCCCGGGAGCTCACGGGCGGTGGGTCGCCACCCGTGTCCTCAGGGGCTAGAAAAGCTTCTTCCGGTCTCCCTGGTCTGCTGGGGGGGGTCCAGCAAAGACGCTGGACCCCCCCAGCAGACCAGGGACACCAGAGCAAAGCC